TAAATAACTTAGGGTTCTGTTGACATGAGACACGATTGCTCTGGGCAGCACCAATCTATTCCTAAGAGAATGTTGGGCACTGAAGACACTACACTTGGAGCTTGTTTTCTTCTTGGCAAAACTGGCTCATGTATTTTAAGTCTTGGTCTCCAGTTGGTGAACTCTTTGGGAATTATTTGAAGGTTTGGCCTTGTTAGAGGAGATATATCACTGGGGGTGAGCTTTGCAGTTTAAAAAACCCAGCTATCCCCATTTAGCTCTCTCCTTATCTCTGCCTCATGTTTGTGGGCCAGACATAGGATCTAGTTAGCTTGTTGCCAAGCTCCCTGCCATGATTGTCATTTTCACCCTCTGGAACTGTGAGACCGCTGTAGCACGCTTCCTTTTGGGTCACTCAAATCATGACACAAAGACTTATCAATTATGAATGTTCGGTCTTTTTTTTTTGGTTTTTTGAGACAGGGTTTCTCTGTGGTTTTGGAGCCTGTCCTGGAACTAGCTCTTGTAGACCAGGCTGGTCTCGAACTCTGAATGTTCGGTCTTATGCTTGTCCCACTAGCTCGTATAACTTACTTTATTCTGTTTCCACTATGTTTTGCCATTGGGATTTTTTTAAACTTTCTTTCATTCTGTATGTCTTACTTTTCTGGCTTCTTCCATGTCTCTCTGTCTGGCAGTTGCCTGACTGACCCCTGGCTTATTACTCGTTCTTTCTTCACTCTCTGGAGCCTGGATTCCTCCTCTTACTTATTCTCTCTGCTGGCCAGCCCTGCCTATGCCTCCTCTGCCTAAGTACTGGCCATTCAGCTTTTTATTAGACCAATTAGGTTCCTTATGCAGGCAAGATAAAACAGCAACATCTTTACAGAATTAAACAAATGTAACACATCTTTACATAGTTAAACAAATGTAACACACCTTTACGTAGTTAAAGCAGTATTTCACAACACAAACAATGTAACATATCTTTTACACCACAGCCCAAACATTAAATGCTTTCTTTTATAAGTTGCCTTGGTCATAGTGTTTTGTAATGGCTTTAGAAAACCGCCAAAACAGCTTTCAAATATCTAAGCTGTCAGATACTTGCCTGGGAACTGTTCATCATAGGGTGTACTTCCTCCTAATCTAGTCAGGGCAGGTGGTGCTGATTTGATCTTCTGGCCTCAAGTGATTCTCTTATCCATTCTCTCCTATGTGGTGATATTACAGGGATATGACTCCAGCCCGTTTCCTCTCATTTTCATCAATACTTGAGATGTTATAGAATTCTAGGCTAATAATCATTTTGCCCAGGTAAAAGTATTTATTTTATGTATATGTGTGGGCATGTTTGCTTCTGTGTATGTATGTGCATGCGTGTGCAGTACCTGTAAGGCCAAAAGAGGGTGTCAGATCCCCTGGAACTGGAGTTGCAGATGGTTGTGAGGCACCATGTGGGTGTTAGGAACTAATCTGCATCCTCTGGAAGAGCAGCTCTTACCTGTTGAGCATCTCTCCAGCCCCTGGAAGTTGTTGCTTTTAAAAGAGCCACTGCCATGTTGGGGTGCCATTTTCTTTTCTGTTCCATTTGTATTCTCCTTTTGAAAGATTTTAAGACCCTCTGTTTTCCTCCCTTGTTCTGAGATTACAGAAAGATGTGTCTTTGGTATGATTGTTTTTCTTTCACTGTGGTAGCTAGAAGCCACTATTTAGTTTGAAAATCTCATTTAATTCTGAAAGTTTTTGTTGCATTTATTTTATAATTAAATCCATAGCCATTCATTTTCTTTTCTCATATATCCTGTTTTCTCCTTTTTAGATCCTTTACTACTCAGACATTGAACTGCTTGGCATGATATTTTTAATTTCCTTAATTCCTGTGTCTGCCTCCCTGATTCTTGGCATTTCTTCCCTGATTTGTTTTAAGCATCTGACCACAGTTTATTTCTCTTGGAACTGTCTCTGTGAAAATTCCCCAAGGCCTCTATTGCAAGGGAGCTCACCAGGGAGGTGTGTGTTGCTCCTTCTGGTGCTGGGTGCTTGTCAACCCCAGAGCACTTGGAAATTCTTGCCATGTTGGTTTTAGGAAGAGGAGCGCTAAAGCTTTCAAAAGTGACTAAAACAAGTATTTCAGGCAAAAGTATTAAAAACAGTTCAAGGTTATGAATTCAGATATTCAAAAGGACAAGAAGAGGCAGAGAGAGAGAGAGAGAGAGAGAGAGAGAGAGAGGGAGAGGGAGAGGGAGAGGGAGAGGGAGAGAGCAAGCTTAAACGGGCACCTAGTTTGCCAATAATTTCATTTGCAGAACACTTGAGTGGCATCTCTTTAAAACCTCTTAGTTGCCAACATAGGGGTTCCCGCCTCACACAGGGACTTGCTATTAGATTTCTAACTTTGAGAAAGACCTTCGTGTTGTTTCCTATGGTACAGTGGCACCCACGAGGCCACCGTGCTCCATGTTCAGCTGCCTCTTGGAGGATCATCAGCTTTTGCTCGTGTTGGTCTTGAGACCATGTTGACTTTCTTGTCAGCTCAAGAACATCATTTTAAGACGTTTAGTGTCATCCCAGCACTGGGCGGGCTGAAGCCTGAGCATCGTTTGATCCAGCTCAGAAAACCAAACTGAGTCACAGCCTGCCTGACGCGAAAAGATCTAAAAGCCAGGCATGGTGGGGAACGCCTTTAATTCCAGCACTCTGGATGCAGAGGAATTGAATCTCTGAGCTTGAAAACAGCCAGAGAAACCCTGTCTCGAAAAACAAACCAAAAATAGGATTTAAAGTAAGAATTTTAAAAAAGAAAAATAAATGCCACGCATGGTGATTATGGTATTTAGATAGGTACCCTGATAACAAGACTGGGCACAGGCTTGAGCCTAGCGTGTCCCCCTTTCCTTTCTTTCTTTTGACTTTTTGGCATCTATTAAACTGGGGTGCTTTGCTGTAGCTCTTAGGTAGTAACCACACTGTGTTTGTCATACCTGCTCAAGAGCACTAAACCTTGGAAAATGGATGCCAGAGGCTTGAAAGAACATTCCAGAGGGAGAGGAGAGCTATCTTTAGCCGCTTGGGAAATGCTGCACCACTAAAGACTTACCATGTGAACATCCACCCAAGGGGAAACTATGAATTGCTGAGAACTGGGCTTGGGGTGGGGCCGTGGCTCAGTTGGCAGAGTGATTTGCTGGTGTGTAAAAGAAACTGAGTGTGACCCAAACACTCTGGCAAGAAAGGTGGTACGTGTCCGTCCGTAATCCCAACACTCAGAAAGTGGAAGTAGGGAGGACCAGAATTTCAGTGTCATTCTTGGTTACATATCATATTCCAAGCCATCCTGGACTACACAAGCCTCTTTAAAAAATAAATAAACAAAAAAGCCTCTGAATGTGAAGTTGTAGGTGTTCCATTATTATGTTATTATTTTCCATTTTCCTTTGTATGAATGCCCAAGGGTGAGATAAAAATTTACACTGCAGACAAATCCAAGCTTTCAATAAATGTAAATTAAAAATTCCAGGGCTAAGAAAATGCATCACGGTGGGCGGTGATGGTGCATGCCTTTAATCCTAACACTCCGAAGATAGAGGCAGGTGGATCTCTGTGAGTTCGAGGCCAGCCTGGTCTACAGAGCGAGTTCCAGGACAGGCTCCAAAGCTACAGAGAAACCTTGTCTAGAAAAAACAAAAAGAAAAAAATCACATGTATAACTGCTTTTTAAGATGTGAGGCATAAAATAATGTTGAGTTTTACAATTGATGTCTAGGAAAGGGATACTATTGGAAGAAAGAAGAAAAATTTTTTAGGGGCTGGAGAAATGGCTCAGTGGTTAAGAGCACCGCCTGCTCTCCCAAAGGTCCTGAGTTCAATTCCCAGCAACCACATGGTGGCTCACAACCATCTGTAATGGGGTCTGGTGCCCTCTTCTGGCCTGCAGGCATACACACAGAATATTGTATACATAATAAATATATTATAAAAAAAAAAAAGAAAAATTTTTTAAATAGTAAGAAAGAAAAATCAGCCCAGGAGCTAATGGTGGACACCTTAAATTCCAGTACTTGAGAAGCAGAGGCAGACGGATCTCGGTGAATTCGAGGCCAGCCTACAAAGCGAGTTCCAGGACAGCCAGGATAGAGAAACCTCACAGCCCCCTCCCCACAAATGAAAAATCTACTCCTTAATGAGTTTTTGGAGGTGGTGTAGAGGAAGGGCTGGAGCTGCAGGGAGACGGCTCAGTGGTTGAAAACATACTGCTTTTGCAGAGGGTTTAGATCTCAGCACTCAGGCACCCACATGCACACAAAACCATCTGTAATTCAAGTTTCAGGGAAGTACTCTTCTGGTCTCCAAGAGCACTAGGCAAGCATACATGCAGGCAAAAATTTGTACCATAAAGTAAAAATAAATGAGAAAAAAAAGTTTTTTAAAAAAGGCATGAGAAAACAAAACAAACAAAACCAGCCAACCAAACCTCAAAACTGGGAAGTCTAGTTTCTGGGCTGGGTTAACTAAGTCGCTGTGGTAACCTAGACGGAGCAGTTTAGGACGAAGTTCATTTAGGAGATGCTATATTAAAAACAAAAAAAAAAAAAAACAAAAAAATTTGGCTTTACGTTCTCAAGCGGAGAGGGTGGCAGGAGGGCCGTCTAGCGGATGCGCCATGAATTTGCACCCGTGCTGAGCCACCGCAGCCCGGAGGATTCCAGGGTCCAGGTCACCTGGGTTTCCTTTCGCCAGGTGCTGTGGGCGGGAGCAGTAAGAGTGGCAGGAGCCTCCGGCTCAGCGATTGGTTGGCAGGCGCCACAAACCGCCTAACTCAAGCGCTGAGTCTGATCTGGACGTTAAACAACCACCGTTGTATTGGCCGGTGAAGGAGGAGCAATGAATGAGAGGAAAACTGTGATTGGTGTAGCTGCAGGGGCGGGGCTGGGAGGACATGCCCCGCGTGGATTGGATCTAGAGATGTCAACGTCACCCGAGAGGCGTGGTCATCGCTAATAAAGCCCGGAGTCGGCGCCGCACCTGCAGTAAGTTCCACAGCAGTTAGAGTTCCGGGTAGCGCGTGTGAGGCGGAGCTCCGCAGTTCCGTCTGCTTCATCCGCAGCGGCTCCCTGTCTGTCTCGTTGCATTCTCCAGAGAGGGACGGACCTCCACTTCCTCTATCAGAAAAATGTGAGTTGACTCTGGTCTAGGGTCCTCGACACCTCCTTACGGACTCTCCCTCCGCAGTGTCCAACTCTGCGGGACGGAAAATGGCGCATTGCAGCAGCTGCAGCGACGCCGGGAACCACCGGCTCGCGCCGCCCCCAGACCGGGCCACCCCGGGATGCGGGCAGCGCTCCATCCCGCACCAACTGCAGTCGGCACTCCTCTGCAGGGCAGGGGCGCGGGGGTCCCACGTTCATTGCATCCTCTCCTCTCGTCTTTATATCGTGGAAGCCCAAAGGGGAAGAATTGGGGGAGGTATAGATAATGGGCAGGGAACTGGGAGACCCTTCTTGTTTGACAGAATCTGCCTCTGAGAAGACTTATTGGTGCACCCATCCGTAGTAACTCGGGTTGCCTGCAGTCTCTGGGTTTCTGCATGCCCCTCACCCAAAAAAAGTGTGATGTTCCTGCCCCATGGCTGCGAGCAAAGCTGCAGAAACTTACTTGCTAGTTCTGTGGCGCCTTGTGAACCGCTCAGAAAGTCTCAGGGGACAGTGGCAAGAGATGCAGCCGTTTATGCTAAGGTGCTTTCAAGTACTGGAGGAGAATTAGGGAGGCCAGTGAATTCTTCATTTCATCCAAAACACATAGTTCGTCTCCAGTTGTGTTCAGCATCACCGTCTTCTGAAGATCTGTGGCTAGATAAATTAAGAACTCCCTTCATGATCACATACACATAATGAAGGATTTCCTTTCTGAATTGCCTGGATCGCTTGCCTGGTGCTAGATGTATTTGTGTGTGTGTGTGTGTGTGTGTGTGTGTGTGCGCTTGCTTGCTTACATTTTCCCTCTCTCCCTCCCTCTCTCTCCCTCTCCCTTTCTCCATCCCTCCCTTGTTTGGCTTTTCCAGACCAGGTTTCTCTGTGTAACCCTGGCTGTCCCAGAACTCCCTCTATAGACTAGGCTAGCCTCGAACTCAGAGATCTGCCTGCCCCTGCCTCCCAAGTGCTGGGGTTAAAGGTGTGCACCACTCGGTTTGTGTTGCTTCTTTTGATGATAAAAAAAAAAAAAGGATTGACTTGTATTACATAAGGATTATAACTCCCTGGGTAGGTTAATGTGGAGTGTTTCCAGCTCCTAACAAGTAGTAAGTGAAGTGAGCCCTTTAAAAGCTCACAGTCATCCCATTCTTTCTTTTTGGGTTTTGTGGTTTTAACATTTTGTGCATTTTTGACAAGCTACTTTATTTGGGGAGGGGCCCTTTGTAGCCGACTCTCTCCAGGTGGTTTCATGTGTGAGGCTGGAGGAGGAAGGGAAAGCATGATGGCTAGCCGGGAATCACGAGGTCTCTGACCTTAGTCTTGTCATTGGTGCCACCATCCTGGACTCCTTCCAACACTAGCTGCTACCAACTCATTGGAATCCCTGCCCTCAGTCTAGAACTAGATTGCTTAGCTCGCTCAATAGCAGCGCAAGCCTTGTGGCTCCCACGGCTCTGCATCTTCCTTTCCTTCCTCAGTGTCTAGGGAGGACATGGGAAAGTGACTCTTTAAGTGGAAGAAGCCAATGTAATCTGAATATGGCCTCTCTAGGGGCGAGAGCATCTTGTCTAGAAGAAAGTTACTTACTTATGGAAAAGGAGATTCAGGGTATTAATTCTATGTGATTAATCAAGGAATTTCCTTTTTTGGCAACTTCATGATGGCTTAACTTCTACCTTATTTATTCTTGGACTTCTCTGGCAAGGATGTTTTATGGAGTTTAAGAAATTTCTATTCTCCATCAAATTTTAGATATCTCTCTTTACCTTGCTTGTGAAGCCTCCACATGGCAGGGAAAAAAAAAATCTCCTTTTGTAGGTTTGATTTTGGGAACTTGTTAGCTGGTGAGTGTCAGAGACAAGCTTATCTTAAAGACCTCGCACTTACTACACATGTGGACACACTCCTTTAACCCTGGCACTTGGGAGGGCAGAGGCAGGTGGATCTCGGTTTTAGGCTAGGCTGGTCTACAGAGAGAGTTCTGGGACAGCTAGGGAACAGGAAATAACCTGCCTCTAAATTTGTTTAAATAATAAATACATAAGAAAAGAAAAAAATCCAACCAACCAAAACCAAAGACAAGACCAAGCCCACTCAGAACCATTCCCTCCAAGGCCATGAGTGCTCTTGGCCGTCAGTGCGGGAAGAGGGGCTCGTCCTCACATGCTGCACAGTAGTGCAGTTCAAGCTTTCTCTCCGGACCCCGGCCCAGGGCAGCACCCTGAGACTCTGCTGAGTCTGAAGAAGGACGGGACGACAGTGCTGCATGTGCAGGGAAGAGTATTTCTAGCGTTTTTACTTTGGGTCTGTGCTCTTGGAACAATTAATGTAATTGCTTTAAGCCCCAGATTCAATTTAAATGAAACCCCTGTCTTCTCTCTGCCAAAAATAACGCAAATATCCCTGACTCACTCCGTCTATGCAGACGTTGCCTTTGGTGAGTCTCCAGATTGTTTTTACAGCAGCTGGCATGCACCAATTATAGTAGAAAACCTAACTGTGGCCGGACCCCCACAAGCTTGGCCCTGTCACACTCCATCCAGAGCTCAGCTGTCCTCACAGTTTAGTCTTTTCTACAAATCTTTTCTCTTCTGGCTTGGGTTTTCCTGTTTTATTTCATGGGAAGAACTTCTTCTTTTTTTTTTTTAATTTTATTTTATTTATTTATTTATTTATTTATTAAGGATTTCTGCCTCCTCCCTGCAACCGCTTCCCATTTCCCTCCCCCTCCCCCGATCAAGTCCCCCTCCCTCATCTGCTTGAAGAGCAATCAGGGTTCCCTGACCTGTGGGAAGCCCAAGGACCGCCCACCTCTATCCAGGTCTCGTAAGGTGAGCATCCAAACTGCCTGGCTTTGTGGGAAGAACTTCTAATGGCCAGGCAAATTCCATTTAGGTCAAGGCTGGCGTGTTTGTCCCTATGGCCATTTGCCAGAGGATGTGCCTGAGTTTACATCACAGGGTAGCCCTAATCAAGATCTCTTAATGGCACTGCGACCCTCATCCGAATGGCAGGAGATCTTTCGGCCTCTGCCCCGTGTCTCTAGGCTGTATCTCAGCTCTTGGGATTGCAGAGGAGCTAAACAGTTCTCTGTTTGCATTCACGCTTTGCTTGGCGGTACGTGCCAATGCCTGTGAGTCTCTCCTTGTCTCAGTCACTGTACTGTTTGCTTCTCTCCACAGGTCTGCTCCAGCTCAGCCACCCGCTGAAGGAACAGAAGGGGCTGCCCCAGGTGGAGGTCCTCCTGGTCCTCCTCCTAATTTGACCAGTAATAGACGACTACAGCAAACCCAGGCACAAGTGGAGGAGGTAGGTACCTGGCCAATCCTTGAGAGTTTCTAAACTGAGAATCTCGGGAACAGAAAGCATCATCTCATCTGTTCTCTTCTATACAGGGCCAAACAGCCCTTGGACTCACAGGCCTTGGCTTGTGATCTCCCGGGCATTGCTCATTTCCTCTGTCTCTAGTAGGGAAATCTCAGAAGCTCTGTTCCTGCACCCCCTCAGGTGGTGGACATCATGCGTGTGAATGTGGACAAGGTCCTAGAGAGGGACCAGAAGCTGTCAGAGTTGGATGACCGAGCTGACGCCTTGCAGGCCGGAGCGTCACAGTTTGAGAGCAGCGCTGCCAAGCTGAAAAGGAAGTACTGGTGGAAAAACTGCAAGGTGCGCCTCCCTGCCCTCGCCTGCTTTTCCCTCTGAGGTCTGCACACCTCCTTGATATGCATTACCTGCATTGGCCACCAGGGTAGGCTAGAGTATTCAGAACCACAGAGAAAGCCCTGTGTAGAGGAATTTAGAATTTAGGCTAGTGAAGTAGCTTTTTTTTCCAGAAATTCTCGCCTGGCTCTTCTTCAGACCCCCAACAGCAACACCCTGGCTCAGTATATGTATTACAATGTCTGTAGACGTAGCTAACACTTCACAAAATTTGCCTTTTCATTGGAATTCCAAGAAAGAATGAACAGGCATCGGGAGCTAAGCAGAAACAAGGCTGAGTGTCTGTGCTCTGTCTTTATGAGCCTGGGAGAAGCAGAAGCCTGTGGATGTCTTCTCGTCTCTAGTCCTGTTCCCTTCTTCCTTCCTGAGTCCAAGGGCTCATGCTCTGTCATGTCTCCTCAGATGATGATCATGCTGGGAGCTATCTGTGCCATCATCGTGGTCGTTATTGTAAGTAAGTATCCCTGAGGTTGCCATGGGGTGAAGAGGTGGGAAGGTCCTGGAGTCTTCTCCCAGCCCTGCCTGTCTGCCTGCCTGCCTGCTGGGGAGTGGGGCTGCTCTGAATGAGGTATGGAGACCGCTGCTGTGGGACCATTGCCTGGTTGGTGGGGGGAGGGAGGGCAAAGACAAGGAGATTCCTTGACGGACAAGCCTCCCCCTTCAAAGAATTGTGGGAAGATGGCCCCTTCTGCTGAGAAGTGTAGCTGTGCTGTTTGTCTCTGCCTGTGTCCCAGGGAGACCTTGGGACTGGGTTGCCTGTAACTGAGAGACCTGGTTGTCTAGTAACGTGATGTAACTTGCCCTCTTGTTTTCTCCTGTCTCTTTTTTTCTTCTTCGTCTGGGACTTCCTGATTCCTGTGTCCAGTCTACTTTTTTACTTGAGAATGTGCCATCCCGTCTCTGTTCTCCATTGCCATCCAAGTTCATGTCTTTTTCTTCCTGTCTGCTCTCTCAGCCAACTCCTTCATCTGCCTGTCCCCATTCTAGCCCAGGCTTCTCCGTCACCCATGCCTCCTTTTCTGTTGCAACCGTTTGCACTCTTCCTTCACACCAGAAATGCTGCGCGTGGCCGGTCGTGACGTCACTACCCAAAGAGCAACAGCTGGCACCCCCTCCTCACCCCAGAGCTTAAAAGTGCTGTGGCCAGGGTGTCTGAGAAGCTGGCATGGCCGAGGGAAGGAGAAGGGTGTTTGTCTCCAGCTAGGCTGGCCTTCAGCACGAGGGACCCAGACTACTTGGGAAGTAATGACTTGCTGCCTGTTTTATATAATAGTTGGTAACCACTACCCTGGAATCTTTCCTTCATACCAGGCCGGTCTCGGGTCCCAGAGGTCTGTGTAAAGACACAAGTCAAACTGGAATTTTGTAGTTACTGCTTGTCTGTCAGTGTAAGATGTTCTGTGTCTTTGGGGAACTTTACAGCCTTAGACATTGTTCTCTGTGGGCCTAGAAAACAAGTACTCACTGATTATAAAAACAGCAGGAGACTCTTACATCTTCCTAGAAGCCATCCCACATGCCTCTGTCTAGGAGGAGCCGCTGTCTCTTCATCTTTTCTGAACTGTTCTATGTTGCTCATGAGGGCACCAAATGATTCCAATCAGCTTTGAAATAGCAAGCATTTGAGAACATGCTTCTTGCCATCTCATTATTGAAGTTCAGCCTCCCTTGCTGTTGATAATGGGAACTGGGTGTGAAATGGTGAGACTCCCAGGCTCCCACAGAACCCCCTTCTCCACACCTTTCTCTCATTCTTGCCTGACATAGGGATGTGGCAGGAAGGCCTTTCCAGCAAAGCCCGCAGCTCAGTCTTGGATGGGAGGGGTGCCAGCCTGTGACAGGTGTGCTGTGCACTGTGCCCGTGACAGGTGTGCTGTGCACTGAGCCCGTGACAGGTGTGCTGTGCTCTGTGACAGGTGTGCTGTGCACTGTGCCCGTGACAGGTGTGCTGTGCTCTGTGACAGGTGTGCTGTGCTCTGTGACAGGTGTGCTGTGCACTGTGACAGGTGTGCTGTGCTCTGTGACAGGTGTGCTATGCTCTGTGACAGGTGTGCTGTGCACTGTGCCCGTGACAGGTGTGCTGTGCACTGCGCCCGTGACGGGTGTGCTGCGCACTGCTGTCCCAGCATGGGGCCTTGCATCTGGAGCTGTCTGCTTCTCCTCCTTCAGTATCTTCTCTGGAACCATCCTCCCCCATCTGAATTCTGCATTGCCTCCTCTCCTCCACTCCCTTTGCATGCCCTGTGCGAATAGAGGCTGAAACCTGAGGATGGGAGCTGCTGCTGAGCCTCACAGAGGATGCGCATGCCATAAACCCAGGTGCTAGGGGGGAGTGCAGGAGGGGGTGCTCTCAGGACTTTATTACTTCTGTCCTCTGGTCAACAAGCAGGAGGAGGCTGGGGCCGTACCAGCCTGCGTGCCCCCTTTCCACGCAGCAGCATTTCACTCTGCAAAACCATCCTTCTTTCCCTTTGCCCATTTCCCACATTCCCTTCGTCCTGCCTCAGAGTGGGACTGAAGAGCTGAAGAAAGCAGTCAGTGTACTCTCCCAACGTCCCCCCGAAGCTCTCCACTATCCTCTGGGCTTCTCTTTGCCTAGTGCAGGGGGGGGTCATCGCTGGAGAAGAACCGACACTGTCCTCGATGTACTCCGAGCCTGGAGCAAATTTACCCGGTTGGCCCACCCAGTCCTAGCACGGGAATTCATTCCTGGGTTTCTGTCCCGCTAAGGCTTACCAGGTGTAGCTGGTTTTGTTCTTTTGGGGTGTTAGCCTTTTACTTTCTTTCTCACCCCACCCGAGCCCACTTCTGTGTCTTTGCAGTCTCTTTGCTCCCACCACCCGTGTGCATGAGCAGTAAGCCTCTAACCCTGGGACTTTGCAGCCAGTGAAGCCAAGCTTCCCACATCCCCTTCTTTGGTTTGTCATGAGATGATGTGGGGTTTCTTTCCATTGTGTCTGTCATTGCCTCTGTCTTTTTCCTAACCCAGTCTCATAGTTTATGTATAAAGTAGTAAGAGTTGTATTTCCACCAAAGGCATGTGACATATCTACCAATTTCATGTATTCTCAATGACGGCGAAAAATACAAATTCCTTCCACAACATCATTTTGGTTGTTGTTTGGGTTGTTGTGCCGGGGAGGGGAGAAGAGGGTGTCATCCTAGGTTGGCTGTAGGCCAGAAGGGCTGCCTGGTGTGTGTTCTTCGGTCTTCCTGGAAATTAAAGTCTCTGTGTTGGCAGAGGAAGTGGTCTGTGTTCTTAGCCTTCGTACATGAAGCAGCCCAGCCCATGCAGGTGCTGGTGAGAGGAAGTGATGACAGGAAGCGGAGTGGGCACTCACACTGGCAAACAACTGCAGGCTTTCTCAGGCTTCCCCCGGCTGCCTCCACCTGCTTATCGTCTTTTACGGGTTGTGCCTAGATGAGGCTTCCAGCCCTTACCTCCTTTTTCTCGTCCTCATGCATAGTTTGCTCCTCCCTTCTAATTAATTTTTATTTATTTATTTTTAGTGTTTCAGGACAGGGGTTTCCAGTGTGCACCACTGTGCTTGTCTCTTAAGTGCATTCTCCAGACTAAGGTCTTCTGAAATAGCAAGTTCGCCTTAGGACCGATTCCTGTTTATTGTAAGCATGTGCGCGTTTGCCTGCATGCATCTATTTATTTACACCACGTGTGCCTGGCACCCAGAAGAGGGCATTGGATCCCATGGATTTACACATGGTTGCGAGCCACCGTGGAGGTGCTGGGAAGCAAACCTCTCCAAGAGCAGCCAGTGCTCTGTGAAGTAGTGGTCTCTCCAGCCCCTCCAGCACCTTCAGACATTGCTCTGTGGCTCTAAGCCCAGGAATTTTTTTTTCTTTTTCTTTTTTCTCTTCTTTTCTCTTCGTTTTTTCTTTTTGAAGCAGGGTTTCTCTGTATCACAACTCTGGCTATTCTGGAACTCACTCTGTAGAGCAAGCTGGTCTCAAACTCACAGAGCTCTGCCTACTTCTACCCCTCCAGTGCTGGGATTAAAGGCACATTCCTGTCAGCCCAGGGAATTTTTATTGTTTTTTTCAAGACAAGATTTCTCTGTGTAGCCGTGGCTGTCTTGAAAAATCACTCTGTAGACCAGGCTGGCTTTAAACTCAGATCTGCCTGATGTGCTGGGATTAAATGCATATACTACCACCCCTGTTTTTTTTTTTTTTTTTTCGAGACAGGGTTTCTCTGTGGTTTTGGAGCCTGTCCTGGAACTAGCTCTTGTAGACCAGGCTGGAACAAGACCAGTCCTGGAACTCACAGAGATCCGCCTGCCTCTGCCTCCCGAGTGCTGGGATTAAAGGCCTGCACCACCACCGCCCGGCCCTGTTTTGTTTTTTAAATTCTGTTTAGGGCAGGAGAGTTGGCTTGGGGTTAAGAGCACTTGTTCCTCTTGTAGAGGACCCACGTTTGATTCTCAGCACCCACATGATGGTTTACAACCACCTGTAACTCCAGCCCCCGGTGAGCTGATGCTCTTCTGGTACCAAGCATGCAGGTGGTGCACACACATACATGCAGACAAATGATTATACACATAAAACAATAAAGTAGATGCATCTGAAGAGGACTTCCAGAGGACCTGGCTTCTCTCTCTAGCATCCACATGGCAGCTTGCAACCGTGGATGACTCCAGCGACTCTTCTAACCCCTGCAGGCTTCTTCATGCATGTGGTGCACAGACACACACCCAGGCATGCACAAACACAGATTTTATTTTATTTATTTATTTTTTTTGATTTTTGAGACAGGGTTTCTCTGTAGCTTTTTGGTTCCTGTCCTGGAACTAGCTCTTGTAGACCAGGCTGGCCTCGAACTCACAGAGATCCGCCCGCCTCTGCCTCCTGAGTGCTGGGATTAAAGGCGTGCGCCACCACCGCCTGGCTCACAGATTTTTTTTTAAAATATTTATTTATTTATTTATTATATTATGTGTATAGCTTTCTTTCCACGTGTGCCTGCAAGCCAGAAGGGGGTGCCAGGTCTCATTATAGATGGCTGTAAGCCACCATGTGGTTGCTGGGAATTGAACTCAGGACCTCTGGAAGAGCAGTTAGTGCTCTTAACCTCTGAGCCATCTCTCCAGCCCTCACAGATTTTTTTGAAAAGATATATTTGTTTTTATTTTGTGTGCATTCTTGCTTTTCTTGCATGTTTGTCTGTGTACCACATGCCTGCGCCTGATGCCCAAGGAGGTCAGAAGAGGGTATTGGGATAAGCTATAGATGGTTATGAGCTGCCAAGTGGGTGCCAAGAGCCAAGTCCAGGTCCTTTGGAAGAGCAATCTTAGCTACTGAGCCATCTCTCCAGCATTCCTGTTTTGTATTTTTGATAGTAGACTTCATAATCCACAATTTTTATATGCTGAGTTGTGTGTATCCATAACATACCTCATAGAAACGAACACAGGAGACGTCTCCTACAGCTGAGGGAGTGTCACCTAAGAATCACAAACCCCTGGCAACTGTCTGAAGGGTCCAAACCTTAATTTCTGATTATACCACGGTGGGGTGTAGCCCTGGCAGGCCTCTGAGGGCCCCTGCTTCACACCTTGAAGTTGCAAGTTGGAGCAGTAAGAAATGAGGGCGCAGGGATCTGTTGGGACAATGGAGAAAGACAAGAAAGTAGAAAAGCTTGGCTGTGTAGACACAAAGTGCGTTTATTTGGACAGTGTCAAGAGTTTGTGAGCAGTGGCCGGCCCTGCCCTCTTCCCCTCTCCCTTCACTTGCTCCCTTTGACTGTGGTGTTAGCCTCCACTCAGACAAGTCTGCCCTCCTGTTGTTGCCTCCCTTTTCATCAGCCCAGGGTCAGTCTTCTCGACAGGGAAGGAAGGCAGAGACCAGCACCTCACTCCCACACATGGTGCCTCCTTCAGGCCTTTTTCAGTCCCACAGCTCAGCACAGAGTCCTCACAGTAGCTAGAACACTGGTACTCTGCTTTTTCCTTGGAAGCAAGAGAGCAGCTACCTGGAGTGCCTCATAGTCATGGCAGGTCTTGACACAGAAACAGAGAGAAAACAGAAGAAGATTGGTTTCAAATGGAATACTTCCAAAAGCAGGAATTGGGGACACAGTGGAAATACCTGGAACCCGGCACTTTGGGCTTCAACTCTGGTGCGGGGGGAGGGCAAGTACTTAGGAGTGGGGTTCATATACAGACTCACCTTGCTGTCTCCAGAGTTTCAGAAACAACAGCGCAAGAACGAAGAGAACGGTGGCAAAAAAGACTCCAAAGACTGTTGTTGGCTCTGTGGGTGAGAAGGAGCACCCTCCCCTTAGGAAGCGAGCACTGCTGTGGGTGCTTGTGCATCTTCACGGGAGCCCTGGGCCCACCCACGCTGCAGGCCTGCACTTGTTCAAGACTCTCAGATTTGTGTGTTGTTTTCTGCCTCTTTTCACATCAGGATTTGTTCTAAGACAGGGTTTCCCTGACATCCAAACTGGCTTTGAACTTAGGCTCCTGCTGCAGGCTTCTAGTCTGATTATGGGCACACACACACACCACTAATCCCCCATTCCACCTCAGACATTTGAAAATGTTTTACAAAAGAGACTGAGTGACTAACAGCAAATAGCTGGGAATAATGTGAACTCTAACAAAATTTGAGCTCTGGGAAAGCTCATAGTCTGGTGAGAAACCAAATGATGTCTTGGGCTCTCAAATACTTTCATTTTGAGGTTCATATCCTTTTCTGCTTAAAACTGCAACATTCTGTGGCTTTTGGGATGAAGTTCTAGCATGTGGTCCATTGAGATTATAGGGCGTAAGCTTGTAAGGGCATTCAGCTTGCCTGCTGGTCACATTTTCTCTTTCACTGTTTACTGGTGGAGAACCTTGGGCAAACTGCTCAGTGTTGCAAATACCAGCTTATCATCTGTAAGTGTTGGGCATGGCGATGGTATCTGTAGTCCCAGTTATTTGGGAGGCTGAGTAGGAGGATTGCTTGGGCAGAGGAGTTTGAGGCCAGCCTGAATAACAGTAAGATCCATTTCCAAAAATAAATAGGTGTAATGTGTGATATCATACTTAAAAGTTGAGAATATTGGGAGTGGAGAGTTGGCTAAGCAGTTAAGAGCACTTGTTGCTCTTGCAGAGGACTAGGGGTTCCATTCCAAGCCCCACATGGTAGCTGACAACCATCTGTAGCTCCAGTCCGAAGGGATCTGATGACCCCTTCTGGCCTCCATGAGCGTCACATGCACATGGTGCACTTCTATGCAGGAAAAACGCTCAAACTCATGAAATATTAAAAACAGTCTAGAGAGTTGAGTTTCCAATGTCTGGTCACGTAAATGTGCAGATGTAACTACCTTGAAGTATCATTGTCTCTTGCTCCTTTTCTCATATGCCCTCGGCTATAGCCATGCTCCCTAAGTTCTGTAGGCTATTGTACAATCTGGTGTTCACATGGGCTGTGCTCTGGTCATAAGGGCTCCCTTCTTGCTGAACTAGCTCCTAGTGGGAAGGAGCAGCACGCTCCTCTCCAGCCCAAGCTTATTATTTGGAGACTGGGGATTTGTAGCAATAGTGGCTGCCCCTCTGGGAGAGGTAAGTCAAGGGTGGAACCGAGCAAGAGCATGGGCATCTGCACGAGGCTGAAGATGACCCGGAAGTAGGGGAGTCTCAAGTGGAGGAAGAGATAGGACACTCCCAATACCTGTGTCGGGCAAAACCTGCATGCTGACTCTCAGCGGCTCCTCCAGGGAGATGTGGGTAACTTGGCAGATGTAAGTGGCGCCTGCCAGGCCGGGCTCAGCTGTCACGGTGGAAGAGATGCTGTAGGTCCCCATCATGCTTTGCCTGATGCTGGAGAAGGAGGCCCCAGAGACTTGGGCTGGAATTCCACCCTGCTCCTCCCTAATCCATGTCACCACCACATCCAGAGGGTAATAGCCAGCGGCACTGCAGATCAGGGAGGGGGGCAGATCCTTGTTTGCCAAGTTCAGTTGTACTTTGGGGGGAGCTGGAGAAAGATTGTAGAGGTGGCTGATCAGGGCCCACAGAGGAGCCTGCAGCCTCTGAGAGTGAAGGTAGGTTGTGGAGACAGAAACATCTCCATCTTCCAGGGGCTCAACCTGGATGTGGGTCATGAGTGCAATCATTTCTGGAACTTTAAAGTCAATGACAGGCCAGCATGATTCCACCCCCACCTCCCAGACAGGGTTTCTCTAGCTTTAGAGCCTGTCCTGGAACTCATTCTGTAGACCAGGCTGGCCTCGAACT